GACGGTCTTTCATACTTTTAACTATATGCGATGCCGTTCTTCTTCGCTACCTATAGTAAACATCAGTCCAACACACATGCGGATTGGTAAAAACAAGGCCTAAACTATGTGTGATAGGCTAATCTGACGACCTGTACTCGAAGTCACCTAACTTGGCTTTTTATCGTACCTTTTGATTCCCTGTCCTTGTGCAGCGTTGATTATGCGCGGTAATCGAATCCATCCCAATCTGTCATACTCATACTTACGCGGTGTCGCTGATGTTTGTTACTAATTATAAAAACCAGGCCAGTATTTATACCGACCGATGAATTCAATGGCTCAGCTATGCATACTAACGTAATCTAACGTCAAACATCATACTCATAACTGTACGCAATATTGCCCACCTTAGATACTCTTTGTGATTCCTAGGCCGGTGTTTATATACTACGTTGATTATTAGGCCTCAGCTATGCAACGGCAAACGACGGCCTAGTATACTCACAACTGTGGTCGACGTCACCTACGGTGGCTACCTATAGTAACTGCCAGGCTCATACACCTGGTGGAGGCTGACCATAACGCCCCAGCAAAACAGTAGACTAACCCAACGATCAGCGGCGGTCATCACCAGTCAGACAGCAATCAGAAATAATACAACTTCGAATGCACAGCTGCACATCCCAGGCCAACAACGTCTAAAATGTCTTCCGTTGTGGCTCTGTCCACAAACCGGAGTATGTCACTGCAGTGGTGGCACGGCACTGTCATACACAATTTGATAGCACGCTCCCAACTATTCACTTCCTTCTCTTCATTGTACCCTCTCGACCGCTCCTTATATTACCTGCAACAATGAGCTGTCACTCACCTCGTTTACTTATCGTGACTGTTATGCGTGTCGCTGGTTATGAGACCCTACCTATGCACGGCAACCTAATACAATGGTCAACGACGTTGCTTCATAAACATAACTCCACGCGCTGATAATGCGCCCGCCATGAATTAACGAAAAAAGCATTGGCGAATTGCATTTTTATTCATCAGCATTGCTGGTACAACCGTAATTGGCAGTTGCTCCAGTTTCCATTTTCTGAGGACCAAATTCACGGGACAAGGATTATGAAACGGAAAATGCACAGGCGATTATGCTTCGGGAACAGTACCCAAGCATATTGGTGTAATGGAATTCTATTTGCTTCGTTACCTAGTGCTTCATAATTCCCATTATCGGGGCCTTCGAGATGACTGCGTGAAAAATCACACGAATTCCTCGTCATCACGGGATTCAGAAGCAAGTTCTACAAAGCTTATGCTTGTAATTAGGCCTCAAATTACAGGTCTCCATCAGCTCTGCAGTTGAACCAAACAGTTTTTTGCGATAGTCTTGCGGGGCAGGCTCGGCTTATCCTCTATGGACCGATCAAGTTCGGCATCAAAGCAAGCTCTTTTAGCTGACCGGTTGGTAGACCGAAGGCGCGACGGATCGGCAACTAAAGGGAATAGTTTAACTGATACACGTGCACTCACCTGGTGGACGTGCCTGAGTATTTTCTCCACACAGCGGCAGGGCTGATTGCTGCCGCAATAACGGTGATATGGCAGTCAATCACGCTGACATCACCAATCCGCAGGGTCAGTTGGCTGGCCACAGAGACCACATAGAGTGGCGCCGTTCAACGTGGAACACCACTTCGGTTGAGCGCGTTTGCCCTCCAAAACCGGAGGCTGACTCTTCTGTGCAATGTTTGAATTTTGGCGCAACAACAGCTGGGTTTAGACAATCAGACGCTTCATGAATCCAGCAGCCTTACATGGATCCAACAGCTTCAATTTTTCAACCAACCAATCCGACTGCTTGTGCAAACATTCCACTGGTGATGGCTGTGGCTTTGGAACCAGAGCTAAACGTATGCCCCCCTCCGGTAGGTTGTATTCGGCAAGTCGCCGTTCATGTATTAAAAATTGGCCTGAGCACCGTATGTTCGATTAACAAATTTACCGCATGGGCACGAGTGGCCTCTGAATATCGAGAATAGGCGTACACAGGGTAGCCACATAGATTGGTAAAATATGCACGTGCAAGTTTCGGCCGAGGTGTTAACTGTCTGGGAACATTTTAAGGTTTGTTCCACAAATTGACTGTTACTAACAAAGCGCTTTTCACCTTGAACCAATCTGTCTGAGTGTATATCAGATTTGGCGTGCACATTCCAATGTGTCTGAGAACTTGATTGGCGGCGTAAGTCGTCATCCGGGAAACTACACGTCGGACGAAACTGTCTCCCTCCCGGATTTCTCGACAGTTACGGTAATAGATGGTGTGCATCTCATGCTCGCTCATGATCCATTCGCTGTGCTGAACGACCTTCTAGACGGCGTGCTCCAGGCTATGAGAATGATGCACACGCCTCTTTAGACGCCCGTGGGCGTTCTCCGGGCGGTTATTCGTCACATTCCCGAAGTGTACCAACCCACATTGTGCATGAACGGCCCACTTTCGTGTGATGTGGAGCCAGTGGGCAGTCAAGTGGGAGACAAACCTGGGGTCTGTTCTCCTCAGGATCTGCAAATCATGGCGCAATCTACGCGAATAATATTTGGTGCACAACCACTTACTCAGTTGCATTATCAAAGCGAGCCATGCGGTGGAATATGTGCCGGCTGCGGTTGGAAAGTGTTTGCAAAAGTTACAGCAACGCAATGAAACGTACATGCTTTCGGATGGCTTACCGTGCGTGAAAATAGCACAGCATTATATCACAGCCGAATACAGCTTTGGCAGCCCGCATCTGCGAAGTCATCTTGTCCATGACGAACGTTTTGACTGCACATTCTCCACCCATCATATCTTTGAACAAGGTGAACGGCTTGCGCAATGGCGCAAAATGCTCGCTTTCGACGAAGGCATACATTGCGGGTCGACCGGTACCCATGCCATTCGTCACAAAGAATGTATAAAGCTCATACGTTAACAGTGAATGTCCGGGACTCTAAACTTATTTACCCAAGACGGTTGGTCTCGTGTGTAGCATCAACGTTTACAAAGAGTGCTATGTGCTGCGTTCGGAAACAGCACAGGTGACTAAAAGTGCCACCCTCCGATTTCACCAGCAGTACACGACCGCACTCTCGAAACTTGGCTATGATGGATGACATGTCATCTAAGAAACCGAATAAAAGGTAACCACCAATCTACATAACAATGTGGGTCGACAGTTAACGCGATAGTTATTCACATCCCTGATGGCGAGTACTTTTCCAAAATGGTCGGCGACCAAATGCCGAAACTCCGATGACGGTGAACCACACTTCTAAAGGGTATCACACTCCTTTGATTCATCATATGTCAGGCGCCAATTGATAGGAAGTCTGTCAAAAATGAACTTGCTGCTTGGATGGCTGTGCTTCAGGTGGTAGGAAGTAGCCCTCAAGCGGTCATTGCACCGGCGAACATAGAATCTTGCATGACAACCGGTACGACGTATGCCGCCGCGTACACAAGAATAGCCAAAAACTTACTGGATGCGACGAATTCCACGGCTTTGACTGCTTCTGCAGAGACGTCTGCTGCAACGGTAGAAGGATTTTTCAAACAAAAGTAGCAAATAGCTGCTCTTTTTGGAGTTTATGCGGAAGAAATCTGGAAAAATTTTGGCCTGGTACTCTTTCAGAGCGACTTGAAATGCACTCCCAGAAAATAAATCTTAGACAATCTAACTTCTCCACAGCATCATCCTCCGCATTCACGGGCGGAACGTGCTCAGCCATAGCAGCCAATAAAATATAAATATACAAATGTCGCGCGATAGTGTGACTTGAGTAGCTTTAAGCAACGTTCAACAAAACTGCGGCCGTTTGGAAAGGTCTCAAACGCCTGAATAATTACCACCACGGTTTCGGAGAAATTTTGGGTGTGCGTCTAGGACGCGGCGATGATTTCCACTGTTTATGCCACCGTCGCTTTTTCACGCAACACAATGTACACAAATACATCGCCAGTCATGCTTTCATTCTTATTCAAGATGAGGATCATGCCTGACGTTATGCCACCCACCTTTAGGTAGTAAACGTCATCATTACTGACTTTTTCTGTGAAGCGTTACCTGTATACCACCCATTTATCTGTCCCATTACACTAATCTGTTATTCTGCATGTCATTTTTACTTAATTGTCATTACTTTCAGGGAGCCATCCTGCCTCATAACCCTTTGCCTTTTGCATACGGACTGCGCTATTTTTGACTTTATCGTTTTGCTTAATTCATGGTGTTTATTAACAGAATGTTTGCAAAACAGTTCTCAATACGGCGTGTACCGCCCACTGATTGCAAACAATGTACGGTGATATGGCTCCAACCGGCCATCAAGGTCATATATTTTTCCTCATGAGTAGCTGCAGATCGAAATAGCTGCGCCGTCATGATCTGTACTGACCATCAAAATGCACCAGGTTTTACGTGAACATAACTGCCCATCAGTTGGCGTTTAGACAGCCCAAATGTTAACGCGCAAGATTCTATCCTTAATTTAAGTGGTGGCCACATAATTATACAATGCGATGATTGTTGCGGCTTTACTGACAAACTGCGCCACTTTTTGGTTGCTAGGCCACTCGAACCCCTTATTCAGGATGATTCATTGATTTTCTGTTTTCTTCCCAGTGTGGTAAACTAGTTTTTCTGTTACTGACGTGAAGAGTTGGGGTAAGCAATCCAAACAGGCCCCCCAAAAGGAGCTAAAACCTCGAGATTAGATCACAACCTACCGCAAAAAGACGGCCACTTGTGCCTCTAGAAGTGGAATGGCCTTCAGAAATCCAGGGGCACCGTTGAGCAGAAGTTTGCAAAGGTCCCCGTGGGAAACGCTTACAACTCCCAAATCTTATCCAGCAAAACAGGAAGATACCGCACGATAGCTTTCGACTCAGATGGAGAGAAATGCGGACTGTATTCAACCTAAAACGTGTGCAGCGTGGTCTGCTGTCGACCAAGAAATTGCGCCAGAACTTTGTTACTGCCAATAAAAGTAAACCTAAGTTTTATCGGACAAAACTGTAAGGAGTTAAATAATGCGACTAGTATAGGAACTTGGGGTAATCCGTCTGCACATTTCGGCGGTATGTTGCTCATAGCGTTCTGTCTAAATCAGCACAATTTTAAGGTCGTCAACCACTACCGATTTGCATCGATACCCGGTTCATGAAATGAAGGGCCGAATCAAACTTCAACATGTGATGGCGTTCCGTGATGTTTCTAACAAGTGCAAAAACATATATAGAATACCTCCTAAAAGATCTTAATTTGGAGGAATATATCAACCTCGTAGTCCCGAAGTATATACCAAACTGGGACCGGCTGCTTGAATCTCAAGGTCAGGTGTTGTAGAAAAATTTTGGAACCCTAGTCGCGCCATAGCATGTTACTTACTCTAGCATATCAGTTGGCTACCAATTTTCGATATCTCATTTTTAATAGCACACAACTACCCTTCCAACTCTTTCTAGCTTGATTAGACCCCACTGAGTTTGAGCTTGCTAGCATAATTCCACGGAGGCTTACTATTACCTGATTTGAATCAAACAATCCCACCTGTCCCATCTTCCTCTAAGCACTTGCTAGGCCCTGAATCTCCACCATTTTTCTCCTCATGGTGTCCAAAGAAGCGCCTCAAAGGCAAAAGGCTCAACACTAAACCTCACCATCCTTCGAGGCGGGTCGACAGATTGCCCCAGTTAAATTCAGCGTGCTCAGTTGTACTAACTGACATTTCCCTTCCTGCCGCACCCGTTAGTTGTCTTCCCTCCTCTTCACCAAAAGAATCTCAGCTCCACATCGACCTGGTAAGTCTCGCGTGCATAATATGGAGAGCGAAGTGATATCCTTACCGTATCACGCAACCACTTGCCTGCCTTCTAACTCCTGATGCAATATGTGACCCGCCAGATCTTGCAAAAGCGTCAAGCTTTATTGACATGCCCACTTTGGGGATAAGTCGGCATATGGAATGCCGTAAACAGGTCTTACTATATAAC